AACTGTTTGATGTCGCGATAGAATCGCTTTGCGATACCTATCTCCACTCCTGCCTCACTGGCGAGCCACTGAGGATCCGGATTTTCTTCCTCAAAGAGAAGTTGTAGGTCGATGCATTTGCGAACCAAAAAGTCGGTGGCCTTCTGAAAACCGGCTTTCCAGGATGAGTCTTTAATTGTTGACTGCAGCCAGCTGCCATAGTCCTTCAGACGCTCATCTCGAAACCCATGAAAGCTGATTGGGCTCACTTCTGCTTTGGTGACTGTTGCCGCGTGTGCTGCCGTGTGAGTTGGCAGGACGTTGGTGATTTGGATTGGCGGGACGCTGGAGGAGGCTGCCGTGCTGTGAGTCTGCTTGCGCCGCTCACTCTGCTCCGCTTCCCTGTATATCTGTTCTCGGAGATCCTCAGGCATGTCCTCATGCGACTCTATCGCGACTCCGGTCCCCTTACGGCGAATGAGGGTCCGAAGATGATGCGTTTTGAGTTCAAATCGCTTGTTCTTCTGAGAGTCGAACCAACACCAAGGTCGCAAGTCACAGGGTGGACCGGGACAGTGGAAAAGACGGTACATACTCTGCTATGCGGCTGGTCGGCCCGTTAACGCCTGTTCGGCATTCGCCTCATCAGTAAGTTCAGCCCGCTGCTGCTCTGTGGCACTACCTCTTACTCTTTTGCCATTTGCATTTATGATGTTCGGTGTCGACTCCGTAGTGGTTTCCACATACCGGAAGCAGATAATCACTCGCAGCTTCTTCCCTGTACGAAATAGTTCACTCCTTTTGAGCAGCTTACTCTCCACTTCTAGCCAGTTAACATCTGTCTTTCCGTACTGCGCCGCAAAATTGTCCTCGGCTTTTCGTGTCACCTTTATCTCGACATCTGTTTCGCTAGGTTGAACAGACCGAGGGGGTAGAATCTTTCTCTTCAGCACCTCTTCAAGTCGAGGCAGGAGAACACGGGGCCCGTATGAGGTCGGCTGTAGTACGATATCCTCAATGGTATTCCTGGATACAATCGATTTATTGATCATCAGTCGCCAGTCGATTCGGTAGTGGAGGTACCTAGGCGGCTGCTCATCGTAAGCTGCGTCAGGGTTCCAGTCTCTTATGCGCACAAAGTTTAGGCCCTGAGTCTGAGGCTCAGGAACGCTCAACGAAGCAGACCGACTCCATCTGGGCTGTCCCTGACTGTCCGTGTATAGTGCAGGTGTTGGAGCGCTCGAGATTTGGGAGACTGCGCTCTCCGCATAGTAGGGTGTCACATAATCGTCAGGTGCGAACGCATAGTCTTCCCCAGATGAAACCAGTAACCCGTCTGGATCATTCAGGGAAGCGTCCATTGACACTCTGACGCGCAAGGAATGGTCCTGCCGGTCTTGCAGAATGCGCAGGCTCGCTGTCCCTGCAAGGTCCACGTGTCCAGTTCGGTCGTCCACGGGCCATGGGGCCGGTGATTCTCCGCGATTCCACGTATCGCACGTGACTTCAATATCATCTTCTCCGCACAAGATATCCAGCATCTTTCCAGTTCTCACGACGCAAAGCCATCGCGAGAGATTTGAAAACCAAGTCTCTTCACGCTCGTCTCGTTCTCGAGGTGCAGTGAGGGGTGCGCCGGTCCATCAGCTTTAACAAGGCCACTGTTCCATGGTGGCGGTGAGGTCTTGAGGATCATGCGCCAGAGACTCGGGAATTACTAGTCTGTGCGTTAGCCATCTTAAAGTCAGACATTTGAGGGCATAGCAGCAATTGATGGTACGTCCCTCGCGCTTGGAGGACGCTCGACCGAAAATGCACAGGGTGAGTCGGAAGCTTTTGGTGGCTGGTGCCAGGCATACCGGGCTCAGCGGAGCTCACAAGACAGCATTAGAGACGTGTGTGGGTATTGAAGCATAGGTGTTGAGCGCAGAAGCTTCACCTTGGACTCATGTTCGACTTTGAAAGATGCTCGAAAAGATACACAGGTTTGGGTGGGATAGCCTGGGCGGGAACCGCAGATTATAAGGGGTCCCACGGATCGGCTGGGCTGAAAAGTCGGCCGATTTCGGCACGACGGGCATTTCAATCGATTTAAATGACAGCTCTGCTTGATGTACGGTACATTTTGATTACGACAGTCCCGGGCGATGATTCGCTGTAACACCCACTCATGCTCTAACTATAACTGGAAAGGTGTATCTTATGTTGGATCCACTCCGCTACCTCCAATAACACTTTTTATGGCTTGGATAGGACACCGGACTCGCACATCTCTGTAAGCTATCCGCCTTTTTGGTTTTCTTAGTGACAGGAATGGCTATGATTGAAGGTCAGAAGGTCAGCAACTTCGATACAGCGCAATTCATGAACTCTCCTACCAAAGTGAGAACATACGATGGGTTCCGGCCAGCTCCTCTCGTACTGTACTGTACTGCTGATCGAGCCACATCGCATTGGCGCACTTTCCAGACGCCCACTGGCCCCGAATGGTTGACACACCTATTGGCCAGACATAGATCTTGCGAGGATTCAGTGACTACATAGTGGAGCAACCCTTTCTCCCAAAGACACCGATTTCGCAGGGGCCTACGGGCCTACAAGCCTTGTCCCTTCGAGGCGAAGAACATCAGTCCGAAGGGGGTCGTCTTTGACCCTGAACGCATCACAAGACACACCTCATAGAATGATAGTTGCTAGCTGGTGTTTCAGGATGTACGGCCGCAGGTCGACCACTTTTGCCACGTCTTAATGCGGTGGGAGGCTGTCGCGTGGTTGGTCTGTGCTTATGCTGATTAGCTAACTTTCCATAACGATGATCAGAGGTGAATGCGTCAGAGATTGCGACATCAACCAGATGACAAGCTGCAACCCATCAGTCTACGAGGTGTAAAGAGGTGGTCGGCTTGCGGTCGCATATCCTGAAACACGAGCATACTTGCCCATTGGCCGAAGAAGCCATCCACGCGTTATTGTGGTGTGTTTTCGGGGATATAGAGATGCCCATTGTAACACCAGCATTTCTCTATCTGAAATGCACCATCTCAGTCGCTCGGATAGAGCCCGCCAAGTGTTCGAGGCTGGTACATAGCCCGACTGATTTCACGTGATCGCATCAGACGCAACGGAGATCCTGGCCCGATGTCCAACCTGCCTCAAATATAGCCGAGGGCGTTCGTGAGAATCAGTACTTTATCAGATGCCCCAAAGCTGGAATCATCTTTGAATGATCAAGCTGAGGACACTGACCCCGAGCGTCAGCCCAACGGATTCACCGACAACCTCTTCACTTTCCAAATGTATCGCACTGCCCCGAGAACGTTTCGCAGTTGACGTAGACCCAATCTCTCCTTGCTCAAAGGTATAGTACTTCGCCAGCTAATCGACAGGGCGTTCAGAGAATGCGTCGAGAATTATGCAGAGCTTCCAGACCTACACCGTGCCACATTTCGCCGCTTCCTTGCGCATGCCTGCTCCTCATGGTACAACACTGCGTGATGTCGAGTGCTGCACTATCACACGAAGTGGATCTCATGGGACATCTACGTACGGTACCGGCGAATTTCAATGAAGCAAAGTTGGTGCACATCACGTGTGTAAAGAGGGTGAAGAGGGTTGGGGGCCGTCCGCACCCCGATACATTCTACTCAAAGCTATAAATGCTTCGCGCCCACTCCAGAGGCCGATTCATATTTCATCTGCTTCTTAACCACCGGCATCACAATGCGGACTTCATCTAGCATAGCTGGCATCTTGTTACTACTTCTCCTGTTTGGATGGCTGACCACCATCGGTGGATCAATTGCAAGTCCCCTGATGCCGTCGATGATAAATTCTGACTCCTCAGGCATCATGCGTCCTGTCTGCGCGTCTCTTGGAAGAAATTGATGGTTTCAAGACTATCATCATACTTAACATCGTGGCGCTCGTCTGTGGTCTGAACATCTTGTTCCCGGTCCATATTGTCCGTTCGACATACCTTCCCAGCAAAGGAATACTCTAAGATCAATGTCTAGGTCATTGTGGTGCTCGGATGGCCTCTGCAGTCTGCGGACTCTCGAGTGAAGGTCGTTGTATCTCTCAGCCTGTTTACCGCTGCGTTCGTAGCATCCGCTGGCCCGATGCTACTGATGGCCATCTGTTTCCTTAAGAGAGGCAGGAATTACGCCGAACGAGGAGTATAAAGTACGATTCTAGGAACTGAATGTTACGGAAGAACGGCTGGATTCTACGGAGCTGGCAAGGAGTTGGCTCCCCGTTCGAGCAGAGTGCATGCAATGCATTCATGCAGGTGACTGCTACCGCAATACTACATATATTTAATCGTCACACATGAGGTCAGGCGGACAGACACTTCGTCGAATGACTTGGGAAGAGGCACATGAGGATCACTGCGCAAATTATAGAAACACGGTGCAAATCCGCGCACAAGAACAGACAGATCTATATCAGGGCTAGCACCTCTGGGCAATACATCTTTAGGTATATTTCCCTAGGTCTTTCGCTGACAATTCGTCGGCGGGACATCGAAGCCAAGGTCACATTCGCGATGCCACCGCTTTGGTTCCCTGGTGTCAAGAATATCCGCTCCACACGGACTTCTTCGAGGCAATCCTGTGGCAGCGCGCGCGTCTGGCGGTTGTGGAGAAACATACCAATTCCGGCGGACGGCCCAGCAAGGCTTTGAATTTCCTACTCCTCGCGCTCAGGGTGCGGGCCGCAAGCGAAATAAATGTTAGAAGCACGAAGATGTGTTCCGGCGAACGCTCCGAATCGTTATGATGCAGATCCAGATCCGTCGTCGACCCTGACCCGCCTGTGTTGACGAGGTCTGTAGTGCCTTTAGTTGCCGACATGTGTGAATATTTATTGGATGAGTCCGACTCTTGAGACTGCTGTTTTCGAAGGGGACTCACGTTCTCCTCACCAGCGACTCACCACACGTGCCATGACCGTCGCTGAAGTGTTAGTCATTTTCAGTGCAATCCATGACATCTGGTCGAATGTTCTCAGTTGGCAATGTTGATTTGCATTCGCCGCCCGATATCGAGAAAGTAGAGTCAGTCAAAGGCTCAAAGAAAGACCAGAAAATGTCTCGCTGAACAAATAATGCACTTAGCTCGCCTTGAGTGCCTAGAATTGCCCTACAGATATATTCATATGCTTGGTAATAAGGACAACCAGACTCTATGGCAGTCGACTGCGTTTTCCATGGCAGTCCTTGAGAGGTTCGCAGGGAAGCGACACCATGCTTTGGGTCACACGACCATACTAGGGCTGTCTCGTGTAAGTCTATAGCGCTGTGGGATCTTGTGGTGGCTTTCGATCACCATGCAGTCCATGGAAACCGTCAAGACGCGCCCTAAACACTCGCTTGTCGCAATACTCATGCATCGATTCTCGGGAGAGGGGATTTGATTACTGTGCCATATTGCTTGCTGCAGTGCATCTTCCAGTACAGTGTCAAACTAAGCTCCACAGTATGCCAAAGGCCTCTCTCGCTCTGACGGCTGTTCTTTTCTGCTGGCTGCAGCTATGCAAAGCGCAGACGTTTTCGGACTATATCTTTGTAGCGTCGAATAATGGACTCGTCTACACCATTCATTTCTGGGAAGATGGTGCACAGTTTAGCCTGTCCGAAGCCAGCCGACACGATGGTTGCGGCGCAAGTCCCACCTGGCTTACGCTAAGAACATCTGGTGGTCTGTGGTGCCTAGACGAAGGCCTTCTGTCAGCTCAAGCAAGTGCCAATCGATTTACCTTGTCTCTGGATGGCAATCTAGCACATGCCGAGCGGATCAACATCTCTGCTGGCCCGGTACAGAGTGTCGAGATCGACAATGGACGAAGCCTCGCAATAGCATGCTATGGAGGGGAGTTCCCCATTCAAGGCGGTGTTACGACACTCGTGACATCAGTCAATGGCAGTATCGAAGGTGGCAAATTTCTTCAACTACCGCCATTGTCCTCACCAGGGCCAAAATCGGCACAGACAGTTGCGCGGGCGCACGGAACAACCCTCGATCCCTCGGGGCGTTTCCTGATTGTGCCCGATTTAGGGGCTGACATGGTCAGGGTATTCTCGGTGCAGAACGGAACGGGGAGTATCAAATTTGAAAATCAGGTCAAGATGCTCGATGGGTCTGGTCCGCGTCACGCTGTGTTCTGGCGTCATCCCAACGCCACATATTCTCCGTCCCCCGCCTATCTGTACGTCGTATCCGAATTCGCAAGCACTATTACTGTCTTCAAGGCCGTGTATACAGCTACATCACTGGCACTTGAGTACACGGGGCAGACGCTGTCGACTCTCGGTAACTACAGTGACTCTGCGAGTCTTGCTGCCGCTGCTGAGATTGCGATCAGTCCAGACAAGAGGTTTCTCGTGGTGTCCAATCGCAACGACACGTCATTCGTGTCTCCCCCGTCGGACTCCTTGGCCGTCTTCAAGATCTGTCCGAGTGACGGGAGTTTAGAATTCCGGCAGCTGGCACGTGCCGGCGGCAGATGGCCGCGACATTTTGATATCAACACTGCTGGCGATCGAGTTCTTGTTGCTCTACAGCGAGACTCGAAAATTGTCATCCTATCACGAGATAATGACAATGGCAACATTGGGAGTCTCGTAGCTACCTTGGATATCGAGACTACAGACACTAGTGGGAAAGATACTGGGGTGAACGCAGCAATATGGATGCGAACACCGCAAGCGTAAATGCAAAAAGGTCCAAGTGGGCGAAGGCAGTATGAACTGTTACACAGCACATGTGTGGAATGAAGGTACTCAAGATCGATCAAAGAATACAGGGAACATCGACGATATCATCATTTAGGACAATGCCCGTTTTTGCAGAGCATCTTGTTCACTTTCAGACCATCCACGACCCAGTGTCGTTTTGCTCTGTGCCTCCATAGGGCCAGGCTCATACAGAGATCTGACCCGCTTCACAGATATATATTCAGTCAATAGTCCAAGAGCTATACCCGATTTCCAAGGGCAGGTAAGGGGAAGGGAACGGACGGACGGGTTTTGCCTTCGCTCCGATGATAGGAATGCATCGTATTAAGCTGACTGTGGAATCATGCCAGAAGGGCTGAATCTCCAGGCCTCTCCTCTTGATGTATAGTTCACAGTTAGAACACATTCGCGCAAATATTTCGGCATGTCTATTTAGCCAATGTACCGTCAATGCCTTAGATATGAATAAATGATTGCAGGGTCAAGGGAACCTCCGGCAAAAGGTCTGGCGGCACAATACCAAGCGCCATCCTGAGCATCTCTGCTACACTGCCAATGATTCTTTCGAGCCAAGCATCGTAATCGCAAGCAATGTCAAGGTGTTTGCCGAGGCCGCACACTCGCGAATACTTGTGAGTCCAGTCAGGGAAGGCCTGGTCAATCAAGTAGCGCGCCTCGGCATTGACTTGGCGTTCCCGGACACAACGCTCAACTTCAGGACGATCTGCGCCACCCTCAAGTTTCCACACCGCATACAGGTGTAGCAAACGATGTACAGAGGAGAACAGGATAGCCATAGACTCTTGAACTGCTGCAATGTGTCCACTAGATGAATCTGTCAATGTTTCCGCTCGAGGGCCAGGAAGGCTGAGGAACAACCATTCGCGACGGTGTGGGGAGTCGAGGAACTCCGAGAACTTGTCCATGATTTCGTTATTTCGCATCCTAACACATCTGCTGTTTCCCAGGCCACTGCCCCAATATAGTACAGTGTGAGAGTGTCTAGCGTGATGGTGACGGGTTCAAAGAGTCGAAGCCGATGCTGCGAAGTGATTTGCGTAACTACATATCAGCCTCATCTCGACCGTCTCCGTACATCTGATAGAATGATGGGTGCTAACTGATGTTTTTTTATCATGCGATCGTATGCCGACCGCCCCCATACACCACAAGAATTCATGCTTTAGACCAGAGTTAGAATCGTAGCTGTAAGATACTGTGTATTGCAGTGGCGGCACTCGAATCCTCGCGGACGGGTGGTTGACGGTGCAATCTCAAGCGTCGATGTTGTGCTATCGTTTTCCGAGGTGCAAACACGCTTGCCCGTTCAAGTTAGCCTAGTGTGGAAACTGCGCTAACCGCCGCAAGACAGCGAGGCATCCTGAGAACGATCTGCTAGGCCCTCAATATCTCAAACCTGAGCTTGTCACCAGAGTGGTCGGTTTGATGAAGCACGAGTTGTCGTGGTGCCGTTCAGGGTCAGTAACATTCCCACCCCGTCGCAGTGTGTTTCACTTCAATATCTTAGCCCTCGACTCCGTCCACGTGATCTTCGTGCACAGTTCAAAGTTTACATACTGCACTAGTCTCTTCGGCGAAGACCTTTCGTAGCTATATTTGGGCGAATGCACTGTAGAAGCTTGTCGGCAAAGAAAGAACGATTCAGGTCTCTGCGTAGTATGAACGCGAATATAGTACAAACGGTCGTCGGTTGGCACTTGAGGCAGCGTTCCTTAGATCGACGCAGGTGGTCAACCGCCATCGATAGGCACATCACCACCGTGCTCCGCGTACTAGTGACTGACTCACTGCTGTTGGGATTTGCAGAACTGCACGCTGAACGGACCCCTGCATCCAGGCCCGTCGCTGACCAGGCGGCGCCTTACTTGGTTCGGAACGGTTCGCACAACTTGATGTAAAGCTCGCGGTGGTGGGGTGGTTGACGACTGCTCATTATCGTGGACAAACAGATGGGAGCAGAGACAACGAAAGTGAACACAGTATTGATACTGTGTACGTGCTGACTATCCAGCTTCTGTCTATCGGTTGACGAGCACGTAAACGCCAGTGGTGTCAAAAACGACACGACATGGCGACTGGTCTGCCTAGAGGCAACTGCCAGCCTTGGATATCTGAATCGTCGCCGTGTCACAAGGTCAGGAGATGAGCTGTCACGAACAGTGGGTTTTCTGATGGCGGACGGTATAGCACAACAAATATCGGGAAGCACCGAGCTTGACAAGGACTAGTCGGTAACTATGACATGGGCATCAAGCAGAGTGACGGAAATTTGGCAATTGCTTAGCAACATGTTCGACAGATTGAATTTGTTCTCCTTTTCATCAAAGACTCTTGGCACCTCATTTCGCAGCGTCATAAGCGACCTCGGAGATTTCTGTCGCCTTGAACGCACAATCTTTCATACATCCTTCCGTCAAGAGGCGCTGGTGTGATGATTCGATCATAGTGCGACATTTCCTTCTTCCTTCTCCAACAGAGGGCTTGGACCTGACTCCCTCTTGCGTCTTCGCGATTCACGCTCGGTTGACATTGATGTGTCGGTGGTCAAGTCTTGCTGAGACTCGTCACTTGTGTCCACGTCGTCGAGCTGTTCAAACATTTTGTCGAATAAGTTCGCGAGGCGACCTTCAGGAGAAATGGCAAGCCTCAGTGCATGAGCAGAGATTGCGACAGTTCGCAACTTCGCTGCTAGGCGTCGCTTCTCGTTTGTTACGACACGGAGCTCGCTCTCGTGACGAATGCCGTTACTGGCATTTCTGAATAGCCGTCGTGTGAGCGAAACGTTATCCACCTGCGCTGCCGATGCCTGATTGGAGACCAGCTGTACTTTGGTTCGAAGTGCATCGCGTTCCTCCATGGTTGAAACGAGTTGATTGCTCAAGCGAACCGTAAGCTGCTCTAGCGAGAAAGACATTTTCGAGATTTGAAGGGTCAAATATGGTGAGACCGTCTATTGAAGTCATGGAATTTATACTTCAATCAAAGCACATTCGAATGTTCAAATTGTATGGATATAACAGCTATCCAGCGCCGATGTATCCCAGCCTCAGATGCTCTGCAATCGGGATATGCCACGAAATACAGGGGTGCCAAGTGTAACTTTCATGCTTGGCCTCGAGACACCCCAATGGTCTTTCAAAACGCACCCACCTAGATGTACTGCAGCCCACAGGATGCTGTAGCTGCAACTTTGGAGAATTGGTATTCCTTTGCAGATATCAGTTCTGATGCAAAGTCGTATCGGACCAGAGCCAAGTCACTTCTCACTCCAGTATCCCGGCGGCGAACATGCTATGGATCTTGTAAAATACCGTTGAGTTCAATATGTAGTTCAAAGCAACAATCTTGCGAGATAGCCGAAACGGGGCACTACCTAACCTTCCAGTCCTCTCATTTTCGAACGCCTTCAAGGCTGCCGACGAATGACAAAACTGTCGTTCCGAACCCGAAGGTGGCCCTTCTCCGGACCAGTACGTCACTCAGTCTGATGCAGGTCATCCATCATACAGCCAATGACTGTTCCCTACTGGAGGAAATGCGGTGCTTATACAAGACGGTAAAGGTTTGCTCTGTGGTAGGACACTCAGAGATCTGTTAGCAGACTTGACTACCGAGAAGATCGTAAGTGTGGCGGGATAACCTGCAAGTCGTGCAGTGGGCTGCCCATACAAGCCCCTCTAATTTTGCTGGTTTCGTATGTATGGGTTAACTGGTGTCATCTATGAATGGCGATCCCATCATTTTTGGACCCGAAAACTCTTTAACAATATACCCTACCGCCACAATCAAAATGTGCAGAATGTGTCTACTGACAAAGGTACATTTGTGACCGTTATGGGCTCCGCCTCGGGCCTTCAGGAGGATTTTGACAGTACATGAACTGGATAAACATGATTCAGTTCTCACAGAAGACGCCTGTAGGATCGTCTATCAGATGACAGCGTGGTATGAGAAAGCCAGCACCTGGATCAAATGAGTCGATCAAGGGCATCCAAGCGAGCATCTCAACTATCCTCTCGTCCCTTGCTAATCTTTGCCGACGCGTTATAAGCAGAGACTTGTCTGACGCACTACTCCATCCTGTTGATTCTTCCCGACTTGCTCGAGTCATCTACAATCCAAAAATGGCTTTGGTCGAGGTGGCGAGGAGCTCATCTACTTTGACGCCTTTACCATGGCTTGCGATAGTGTTCTGATGGTATTCCGGTTTCTTTTTGGTGAGATCCTCGGCTCTTTCACGGGGAAGGTTGCCGTGAAGTTTGCTGTGCGATGTTCCACTCATTTCCGCCCACTAGGACACGCAAGTCGATTCGGCGGCGTGATGACAACAGCGCAGCTGACCTGCTTAGAAGCGAGAGCAATCTTCTCAAAATCCACGATTGAGTTACATGGATTGCTAGATCAATTGCCAGTAATGAGAGCTCGCCCGTGGTGTGAAATTCCCGGGTCCGAGAATTCTTCCTGCATCGAAGCCTGCAGCAGTTCTGGAGCGGGCCTGGAACAGTCTTGAGGTTCCTGTACTCTCACGAGTATTATCGCTCGCGTACTGCTGTTTCTCGCTTCACTGCAACCCTATTCTTCGCGCTATGGGCTGAGACCAGGATTTGTCTCACACGGGAATCTTGTCAAGGGCTAAATATACGATGAGGGTTTGTGTTCGCATTGGACCTTTGCAAACTATAAGTATCGTGCCCAACTCCTTTCTTCTTGCTCCTGTCGCCATCATCTGCAAGACAATGGCACTGCACAGGGTCGCTCTGTTCGGACAACGACATGTCATTGAGCATTTCACTAATATGGTGCCACCCCATCCACTGCTCAGTATCGACAACCTATCGTACGGAGGGTCAGAGGCTTTCAGAAATGCCGTCAGAACTTATCACTTCACCGTACTGATGTACCATGATCAAGACCTAGACGCACTGCTCTGGGCTCAGCACCAGATCAAGCTTCACCGGGAATGGCAAGGAGTCAGCCTGATCATCTTAGCTCCGGTGGTGGAGGAGTACCAAGGCGGTCATCCGACGATCCTGCAACAAGCCCCAGTGATCCTAGATACCCCTGATCATGCTTTCCAGCTGCTGAAGCTCATTGCTACATCCATTCAGCCCCGCGTCGTTACCCCTGTCGGTCCAGTCAGTCCTCTTCCAGCTCTTCCAGGTGCCGTAAGAAGTCGACCTGTCACGCCAAGGCGTCTTCGTCAGTACAGATCTCGCCCAAACCTGAGTGATGAACATTCAGGAGAACACACAATGTCTCTACCTTCGATAAAGAGTACTGCAAATCAGTGGCGCGACTTACAGACGTACTTGAAGGTATTCGCATTGATAGTGCCTTCAGAACTTCGCTGACAACAACAGAACAACGTGGAAAGTACTGATCGATTAGTGTGCAATCTTGCGTTCGCTTTCTTGATGCTACTGGACGCTGGAAGCGTAGTTCGTGTCTGCAGTGGCGACCTTCGCGCAGAGATCCGCAGCAGAGTCTTCCATAAACAGGTTACGGACCAAGGGCTCTTGGATTTCCTGCACTACCTGGGTGGAGTCCCTGCGGCAAGCAGTACAAGCATCTTGGCCACTGTGGCGCACTTCAACGTCCGACAACTTGTTGGCACTTTCATGGACGAGGATATGCAAGTATCTAGGTGGAATGCGGTGGCTCCGGCCACAATCCAAGATGTGATCAGTCAGCACTTTGCGCCACTCACCTCGGAGGAGATATTGAACATGGTGCAACTTCTCTCGAGGTGGCCTGGCATGAGCCACTATTTTTATCTTCTATGGAACCAGAGCACCGGCAGAAACGCTGATGGGGTAGATGAACGGCCGCCAGAAAAGTCGGGCATCTATCACAAGAGGCGATTCTGGCGTTGGCATCATTCTTGGACTTTCCAACGCAAGGGCCATGATCAGTGATGGGAGGACAGCCGTTGCGACTTTCGTCCTGCGCCATATTATCAGAAGAACTATCGGTAATGGCGAACCCTTGTTTCAGTCAAGATGCCGGTTCTTTATGCTTCAATGACTTCTGTTGGCCCTTCGTGCGAAGTTCCCGACCGTGGCCACGCGATATTTTTCCGAGGTCCTTGAGAGGCGATGCTGTAGCGTCGTCGCACATCGTCTATGTACTGTAATCCATCATGTCAAAGCACAAGACACGTAACGGTCCATTATCACGCAGTATTGCGAGCAAAGGAGCGAGACAATTGCCTCGTTGGAGAGCGCCTGGATGGTGTCCTCCCCTTGCTGGCTCATCAGCCTAAAATCAAGACTGTCATAAGAATAAACCGTTAATACAAATATACGGAGCGAACGGTTAATCCTTGATTTCGTGGAATTGGGACTTCTCAAGAGGCAATTCGTCGGTCTTGATGACCTGTTCCTTTTGCAGGATGCCGGGCCCAGGGTTCAGCAGTTGAAATTTGGGTAGAGCGACGCGCTCGCTGTCATCGTCGAAGCAAATTCTCTGAGAGTATTGGACGGATATCTTCGGGGATGTGTGACATCTCATGGTCATAGCTCAACGTATTTCTGCAGTTCTTATATACCCTGACGTTCACGTCTCCAAGCTAGGGGCGGCCTTCCAAGATAATTTCAGCCGTGATATCTTCGCAGAATGCCTCAGCCATCTGACAGAGACGAAGTAGGTTTTCCATATTATCCACAGAATAGGGCACAACAAGTCGCTGCCAAGCCCAAGTATCATCGTAGCACCATGGGCAAGTGTCGAATTCGAAGCACTGCCGTGCTGTTTCGCCATCGGAGAGCCGGGTGGAAAGAGTGGTTGTTGATCGTGTACATCCATCACACAGCAATCTACCGCAATCGGTAAGGTTCGTGAATGGGCTGTGACTCAATGCACAAACTGCTTCGGGGTGCAGCTTGAGGTGGCTGAGCTCAGCAGTAAGACTCTCCCCAGCATTCAACGGGCGCGCTTTCGCCACAAAAGCGGAGATTTTGTCGCCCAAGATCTTGCATCTCCGCTCGGAGGAATGCAGACGCTTCTCGGCTTCGGTGATGGAGCGTGCCGAAGTCTCTTGCTGCACCTTTGCGGCCGTGGCTGTTTGTTGCAGGCGTGTGTTGTCTGCGCGGACCTCGGCAAGAGCAGCCTCGAGTTCGCATATTTCCAGTTTCTGCAGACGCACTTCTGTTTCCTGGCTGAGAGATTTTTCCCGCAGACGCTTCTCAAGCCTTCGGTTGACTCTGGTCGCCTTGTTGCAGTCCTTCTCTTTGGTCTGAGTTTGCTCGCGTGACTGTTTGAGCGCGTCTTCGGCCTGCTGACGGTGTTTGACCGACATCCCCAGATCTTGTTCGCACTTTAGCAGACGAGTGACGAGTTCACTGGTCCGAGTTTCTGCTTCGACTTGCTGTCCCCTTACGGTGTCAAGCATGTGCTCTTGGCGCGATATCTGCTTTTCGGCCTCTATCAGCTTCTGCGCTGTCTGCCAATCCTGTTGGGTGGACTCAGAGGTGAGGTCAAGTAGCTCTTGCAATGCAACGGCTTGCTTTTGTGCACGATCGGCGCGTTGATTGGCCAGCATGAGGCCGCGACGCAGGGTTTCCAAGTTCTTCTCCTGGTCTCGCTCGAGATTTTCGACCGTCTGCTCCTGTGCCTTGATCTGGCGCTCTAGGTGATCAACACGCCGCTCAGTTCCTTGCAGCTGCTGAACAACGGCAGATTTCTGCGACCTGGTGACCAGTATCTCCTGCTGAAGACTCGAAACATCAGCTTTGAGCTTGCGGTAGCTCCCCAGGAAACTCTGATGCTCCCTCGTCCAGTCCTTGTGCAACTGCCTCCAGCTTTGATCTAGTCTTTCGATCGCATCACTGGTTGCTGGCAGGAATGTCAGGAAGTCAGTGACGCTGGTTTCATCCCGATCAGAAGCCATCAGGGCAATTTTAAGGTGCGGACGCGTAGAAGTTCACAGTGCTGGTTGCAAAGAAAGAGAGAGGGAAATCCAGGGTAGAAGTGTAACGCACGGTTTTATGGTCGTCACCCTTTGACTGATGTCAAATGATCAGGATCAACCTTGGGACGCAATTGGGATGGTCGCAATCGGCCCCAACCCACCCAACGCGGCTTACATACCGTCTTGAGTCACTTGCTGTTGACCACAGTCAATGCTCGTATCAAACCAGGCAGTGCCTTTAGTAGTATCCAATGACAATGTCAGGTTCAGCGTACGTCACCATGAACATGGGTCGCCGCTCACACTAATCAGGCTTGGCGAAGGCCGTGGTCCTAGAATCACTTTGAGACTGGGAAACTGATCCTAGGATCATTTTGAGACTGATAAACAAAGCTTAGGTGCAGAAGAACTCCAAGATAATACGATACCTAGGCAAATGGTACTAGGATTTTCAATACCCTAGAATATATTTACTAAGATCATATTTATCCTGCGAGACTTATCTGCTCTAAGCAAGAATTCCTAGGCTCACAAGAGTTCTACGATAACATTCCCAGTACGCAAATGGTCCTAAGAAAATGCCAAGTAGTTCACACGTGTCTTCTTCCGTTCATTTTCAGCGATGGCTGTGTACCCGACTACATTCGCCGATGCCACAAGGCCCTCATCAACATCTAAGTCAGCCTGCGGAATCAAAAGTATCGTGTTGGTCCCGTCAATGGTGGCAGCTTCAAAGCAGTCATCTGGTGCTAGAAGCTGCATATTCGTGTCCATGGTCCGAAAACCCTTCCTCATGCTTTTCTTTGCTACCCGCGCCACCTCCGACGGGTCAGCACGATAAACTTGCAATGTTTGCACATCTCGCCAAGTTCCGTTGTCTAGGATCTTGAAGGAAACTGCCACAGTATCTGAATCGGGTGTCTCTAGCATCTCTGGACCTTCGTTATCAGGGCTTCCAAGTATTCGTCCTCCAAGAGCCGGTCCTGATGTAGATGGGTCTGCGTCACTATTCATTTCGTCGTAGACGATAGGAGTCCAAGAGTCACGTCTATCTTCTCCACGGCCATTTCCTTCACGTCCGTTCTCTCCACCCCAATCTTCTTCAGATCCAGCTTCTTCGCGTCCGACTTCCCCAGGTCCAGCTTCGTCATGGAAATTAGCCACCTCGTACGGTCGTTGTGGTGGGGTCGCTGAGGGGCCACTCGCTTCCGGTAAAATCACTCCGCCATTCGACCGACCCAAGAATTGCAGATACACAGACTGACGAACATAGAACGAGGTGATACCTTCGTTGTTTTCGTTCTGCTCTTTGTCGAGAAAATGGAGGTATAACGAGGTTCGATCTTCCCGGAAGGTCGAGAGAGGCGGTATTCCACTTCTCTGCCGACACTCTTCTCCAGATCCTGGACGGACAAAGGCCGGTGTATTGCAATATCCAAGAACTTCTGGCTCTCGATCTGGCCGCGTGAGTAGTATCGATTCAATTTCGGGTGACTCAAATCCCAGTCGCTGCGCAAGACTGGCAAACTGGTGAAGTACAGCCGGGTCAGCTGTTGCCCGAGGTTTGCACGAGAGATCCCCACGCTTTGTCGGGCGTGGAAGATATTTAAAGTGCCGCATCACGAAAACGAACAGTTGTCGATATCCATACTCAACCTGATCAGCTTCCGCACCGGCAGCGGCTATGAAAGTGCCTTCACCACTCTGAATCATAACAAAACCGTCTCTTTGATTGATTCCAGTGAAGTGGCTTTGCATGGCCGAAATCATGGTATCTCGATGCGATGGTGAAAAGAGATGCAGGAGACCGCCGAGACATACGTCCCAGTAATTGATATCGTGGAAGAACGAGCGGAGAGTTGGAACCAAGCCGGAGGATCTACGCAGACGCTCCAGTATATCAGCACGCCGCACTTGGTCAAGGCTGCCAAAAATATTGCCCCCCCGAACTTGACGTTCGATTGCCTCAAAATCATGCTGTGATGCCCCTGGGGCAAGCGACTCAAGCGCTTTGACATCGATGTCATTAACCTGGCGCATGGCATCGATATCTCCGTCTAGTAAGTCGTGCCAGAACCATCGTATATGATTCAGTGCGTTAACGATCCCCTATTGACGGTCAACACTAGCCTGGAGCAGATGGCCATGAACTCAAACGCACCTCTTCAAAATTCATCCCCATCATTTTGTTGACTGTTGTCAGCTGCATACCATACCACTGCCCGGGAATATCTAGCAGGTTGTCGAAAGCAGATCGAATCTCGTCGTGTCGAAGCAGCCTCTGGAGACTGCGTGGACGGCTACCCTTCAGGCGGGCCCACCAACGCCTTTCGAAGTTGAGATTACGTTCAAAGTGGTATTTCCTGATTTTGCAGTATACTTCACCGTCGGTGGGATCGGCTTCGTTGGCGTATTCCTCGATCAGGAATTGCGCCACATCACGATTTATATCTTCGTAATCAGCGAGGTCGAGGTCTCGTCCACACCACCAAGACTTACCTGCCAGGTATAGGTCGACAATCCACCACTGGTCACGAACAGACAAATGTTCTTTGCCGGCCTGGATCCGATGATTACCGTGTAAACACATCAGCTTCTTGCCGCGTGGCAAGCGAAGGACAGGGTACGCAGAATTCCCATGTACCAAAAGAGCGGCTGGGGATATCCCGGACTCTTTGAGGGCTTCATGCAACGTGGACTTGTCAATAGAAAGAAGTGCATGATTGACGATGTGTTCTGGTCTGCATCCCTCTTTTCCGAAGACGAATTTCAGGTGCTCGACTCGCTTCCGATCAACTCTTTGCGTGAGCTCGATCGAGTCGAGGGCCACTCGAGCCGACCCTTGGTGCTTGAGCCGTCTTTCAGCTTCAAAGCGAGCTGCTTCCGCCGTGGCACGAATTTGAGCCATTCTGAGACAGGGAGGATGCTTTCTTAAGTGTCTGAGAGTTGAGAAGTCTCCGGAACGGTCGCAGCGTGACCAAGACCACAACTATTTGACTTTGATCGAGCCTGGCATGCATGTTCATGATTGGTTCCTACTATACTACCGACCACCACGTTGCGTGGTCTGAGTATCAGTGGATCCCTCCCAACCGAAACTTGTGCTTTTAGTGTGGTGTTATATGCATATTAACGTGGATGGGCGAAGCGAAAGTTTGGAATTGCATCATGAAGATTAGGCCAATTGGGCCAGAACCTGATTCATCGCTGTGTACTCACTGCTACTGACAGACTTGTTGCTGAAGATCCGTCGCCAATAGCTTTTCGGACTGAGATCGAATCGTTATCAAAGATTTTCGATCAAGCCTAGGATGATTGTACTACAGCTAGTCCACCAAGGCGCCGATGCTGATCGCGATAAAATGGTGTACATGGTCGCTGAGCCTGTTACCGTGCCAGGAGGCATAAAGGGAACTATCCATCAAATGGCTGGAACTCGGTCTCAACCAGTCTACTTCCGCCATTTAAATGCCGACGACATAGTAAGCGAAGCCTGTCACGGGTCGATGGGAAACCTGAGACTTCACTTTATTAGTTGTACCATGAGAGTACAACAGATCGACTGACTCACCTAACACAAGCAGCTTTACTTTATTTCCTTGCTTCAAGACTCCTGGTTCAAGTCGATCGTGTGAAGACAAAGCCCCCTGGGTGTCGGTCCTGATCAGTTGGTCCATCGTGAATGCCCGGTCCACTGCATCGATATTGCTCATAGCGGCAGGTGAAATCTGAGATGTAATTTGTGTGGCATAGTTCGATCTGTCCGAGCTTTCAAGCTCGTTGATTAAGATGTCGTCGTAATCAGGTGTGCCATGACGTACAACACTCCGTCGACCAAATGTGAACCTGGAAAATTCGACAGTTTCAAGGAATATTGTTATGTGCAAAATCTAGTCCACGTCAGTGATCAACAAGACATGCACGGAGCAACTGACTCCCCCACTTGCTAGCTTGTCTTCGTCTAGAGCTTCATTCAACATAGTTTCTGCAGCAATACCGATATCTGAGCAGATCAGCAATGGAGGAGAAAGTACGAGCGCTGAGACGTACCCCTATCGTGAATGTGCCATACGAGGTGGACCCGACGAGTAAACGCTTGACGAGCGTGGTAGCCATGAATGAGTTTTCGCAGGAACGGGATCTGCGCGGCAATACCAGCTCCGTTGGCAACCATCAAGACCTTTTCAAATCCATACGTCTCCAGAATTTGCCCGTAAGGGCCGCCGAACACGGCCCACCAAGAACTTGGTTGACCGGTTGGACTCGCCAGGCTAGCAACATTCCTTGTAAATCCACGACGCGGCTGGATGAAAAGGTCTAATGCCGTCTGTGGGACTTCCTCCCAAGATATGACCACAAATGGATGTGCCTGCGTAAAAGCCCAGAAGCTTGCGGAAGGAATCCAGAGATTGATATACTGTCCAGGTTCCACGGTCAAGGGTCTGGAAAGATTTAATCTGACCTTAATCATCCCATGAGTCGATTTGACTGCGGCGAAGCACCGTCCGTGTGAAAGAAGACCGTTCTGGGTGACTATGATGGCCGCGTTGATCACCAAAGTTGCCATCACTACAGCGCCGACCGCATATAGGTAAAAGTTGTAGGAAGTCTTTTCCGAGGGTACATGGTGCCAGATGGAGTAGAGACATAGAATACCTAACGCGCGATGGAACCACAGAAATAGTTCGTAGGAGGGCGATCTAAGAACCGGCCATGACAACACAGCCAACAAGCATGTCGATACCATTGCCTCATGTCCTGTTAGCAATAGCTGAACATATTGGAATGCCATACCGTTATCCAGAAAGGATGCTGTGGCAACAACGACCAGATGGATCTATCTTTCACTGCCGCTATGACAACATGAATTGCGGCCAACAAAAACGCGTTCCAACCCATAGATCGATGGATCTTGCGCGATGTCGTTAAGGAAAATCCGAGAGCATGTGTGACCCGGTCGAATTGGAACGCCATCATGAGCAAACTTAAGTTCATCAGGGCCAAGATCCCGCCCCGGTCGCCTATTTGTGACAGATCTGACGCTTTGAAGCAGATGCAGAACATGTTCACCCCCAAGAACGCCATTTGAGCCAACCCAAACGCCAGCGTCCACGGTCCGATAAGAGCATGTCGACCAATGATATGGCGATAAAGAAGTTGCTTGGCAATGGCCTGTGATACCTGTTCCCCAACTTCTGCAAGCTGGTGGAAGGCTCTAAGTAAAAGACAGCAAACGGCAACGAAGGTGATTGCAGCTGCATACCACTGGAATATGTTCATAGCGGACGGTTCGGTCGCATCAACTATCTGGTGCTGATAAGTCTCGTTCTGCCCTGGTGACACATTTGACTGGAATATATGTGCCACAACCTTGAGTACGCCACGCAGAATAGCGGTCCAGCAGACGATGCGACCACAATTGTGACTGTACAGCAGCGTATGATTTCCCGTACGAGGGTTATTGTCATGGCTGGTCATGCTTAATCTTCAGGGTGAAGAGATGTAAGACTTTTTATGTATATGACGCCGTCAGGTGCACTACACAACCCATACAATTTCAAGCCTCATTTTCAGAATACCGGTATAATCGCCTCGGTGTGATTGAAGCGAGCTCTACTAATAGCTCTAGATCCTGCTTGCGACCCGGGTCGCGCAAGAACGGGTGCTGCTACTATCAGACTGGAGAATCGAGAGTAAAGAATGCTCACCTGTAGAAGCGTAGCGGCAGAGTCAGCCGACGTAGTCATCGAGACAAAGTCAATGGCACTTGAGTCTGCTGACCATCTCTCGAGATTCTCGATACCGATATTCCCGTCGTCCTTTCGATATTTCTGCATTAACTCCGTTGTGATTGTTCCGATCGCCCGTATGTCAAGCGAAAAGTGCTTGTGCTCAAATACACAGTCTTCTTGATTTCCTGAACGCATAATCAGTGGATCTAAATGGCATCTTATAAGGGTGGCTGACCAATTTTGACGTTTCCATCAGGCCATATTAACACAGACGTACAAGTCAGCGACCCATGGCGTAAGCCGATACTATGTAGATATTTTATACCTTCAAGCACCTTCAAGATCAGGTTCTGTTTGAGAATGAGTCAGGGAAGGTGGTTTACCTGCGAAATGATCGCTGTCAACTGATGTCTAGAAGGGAAGGCCGCACAATCAACCACTTGCTTCAAAGAAGTAAAGGAATGATCGAAGACGGCAAACACCTTGGTCTCGCTCTGAAAAACATCCAGAAGTGTGACAAAACGCTCATGGGAGATCTTGCGTAGAACCCCAAGCTTGTAACTAGCTTCTCGCGCATCGAAATCTCTGATAACGACTCTGCCGCTGTACGGGCGTCTTCGAACTGCCACTGTAATATATTGGTCAAATTTGAGCTCATACGCTTTTTGATACGTAATCCAGGGGGATTCGTGCTTAACCACCCAAGCCTCGCGAATATTTGTCGGCGATGCCAGGGCAGTGTTGACGATGCGTGGCTTTATACCAATACTGCCATCTGTACTTACTACCGCTTGGTGTCGCGGCGATAGGTTCGCTCGTAGTTCTTGTCTTTGTAGCTGCTCCGCGGACATATGAAGGGGCGCTGACTGCTCTTGGACCGGTCGCTGAGTGCCACTAGAGATCAGACCGAGGTTGATGTGAGAGTTGCGGTTGTGTCCTACTGGATCGACACGACGAGGTATTTTCTCGCCCATATCCGCGGGCAAGAGCTGACAGTTTCATTCAGACCTCGATATTCTCGCTCGCCGATTACGCAACTACCCGGTCTATGTAGTCTATCTAGAACCTTAAGAAGGCTTCGCCATTTGATATCTCGAGAATAATCAAGGTGGCAAGGCGCGCCTGGGGTGACTGTAGGCCTGTCAGATTTCATGGTACCAGGCCGCCTGGGCTAGCTTCGCAGCACCATGACAAGAGCGATCCTAAGTGTTCTAGGAAATCTGTGAGATAGCAGTGTCCTGTGCGCGATTTCAAACCCTATGTAAAGGGATGGACAGTATCCTGAGCAGTGTTGTACTTGTCCTGGGACACTGCAATATCAAACCACCACTAATTGTTTCGGTGTGCTAGCACTGCCATTCTTCTGTGCAGTCCTATGGGATCCAACAAATTTGAATCTCGACAGGTCCTCGTGGGTCCAGCATGTCTGTGCTATCCCACAGTTTCTCCTGGCCGTGAAAATCAACCTTCTGCCAAAGCGACTAGCTCAACATCGCAAGCAATCGCACGCCAAGGATGCAGCATACTGTACCTGGTGCTCTCCGATGGTCGCTCTTCTCACGTTCTAGCCAACCTAATCAGGGCATGATGCAGTACCATGTCCAGCATCTGCGCCAAGATCCAAGAAACCCTGGTCAGTTCCACCATATCTACATGCGGTTCAAGATCTCCTCCTTGACATAGATGCTTCCGCTTGGGTCCGACGGGTCTGCCAGGTTACAACATAGTTTAGCAAGTTAAGGGCCAAGAGATCGTTGAGAGATAACTTGAATCATGGGAATCGGGCAGTCTACGCGGTCGGACCAGCCCTCAACCTGGCGGAGACGTAGAGTGGTGGGATTCGTCACCGCAGCTTGCCAGAAAAGTTCGTGAGCTTGCTGCATGGCAATATTATTCATCTGTCTGTTTCTTGATTTATACCGTACAAGGTAGATTGAACAAATGCTGTCAATGAATCCCATGATTTCTTCCACTATCCCTGCTTCCGGTATGTTGAATGCTGTGAATTGGCTTGAATTTGACTTTTTTCTAGTAGTAGTAGAGTGCCGTATCGAATCGTCTGAAGATAAGGAGACCACCATCCCCGAGGCGACCAGGAATTAACGTCGCCCATCTTAAAAGGATGGACTGACGTAGTTTCTGGGACGCCGCCATAAGTGCCGTTCCAGCTTGGTAATCATTCCATTCCAGAGCGCACGTAAAATTGCAACCCAAAGGATGATGGCGATGATAGGTCCAGAAATGAGGCTTCCGATGGTTGAGGATGACTCTGGCACTCGTTTGCAGTTCGGATATGGGCAAGTAAATACCATCCCGGTGTATGGCGAGATACCGTGGAAGATGAGAGCTGCTGGGATAAGATGAAGCATGGCCACGATGATCAGGAATAATATCCAAGTCAAGACTCGAGAAAGCATAATTGTACTGGAGTATGCTACGTTGATATGGTGTTGGAAAGGGAAAGGAAGGCACCCGCGGTCTGAAGGATTGTCGCATATTTAAGGGTGTGGCACTGACCTTCGAGAAGGGACCACAGCTATGATTCGCCTCTTACCATCGAGGTGAGGCAGACTCTGATCTTTACTACTTGCAGCGTGGAGACGAGGTTAAGAACTATGGTCAGGGGTCACCTCTCAGTCTGCCTTGAGACATGACACATAGGGATTATGGAGACCGACTGCGCAAATCTTTCTAGCCGGCCTCACCTTGAATAATCGAGGCACTCTCCTCATTGATCTATCAGCGAGCTCATCTTTCTACTAACTCATTCACCAAGTTCTTGATGAACAATGTCGACCGAGTCACAACACTTTCGCTGCCTTAATCTTCCCCATAATCTGTTCAGCCAGGAAGAGGCATTAATGTCATCATTTGAGAGCGTGGTTGCTTGTTTCCCTGCGCTGCCACTGCCACAAAGCCCAAAATTTTCACTGGATATGAGCTCGGACGGTCGCACTACGCTAGAAATATATGATGCCGAAGCATTCCTTGGTTCTTTGTATCCTGTGTCAGAGAATGGTCTCACTGTTGCACCCGGGGAGATTTACACAGAGCCTGAAGTATCAAGTCCATCGATAGGGTTGCGCGAGGAAGATATTTTGCATCACGTATCTGACAGCGAGGAAATTCGATGTCTGTACACAGAGGAGTACAGCTCCACATCGACGGCAGATCGTCATCATGCAGACGGACTCGAAGATCTGCATTTGCAAGGATCGGTGGAAGTCAGAACCATCTCACCACTTCGATTCGAGTGTCGGCATGATGACTGCCATGGGAAGGACGGCAGAAAGAAAATGTACGCCCGCGCCGAACACAGAAACAGACATGAAAGGACAGTACACCGGAAAACAGCAAATCCGCTGTACAGGTGCTGGGTCAGAGGCTGTCGTAGTAAGAGCTTCACACGAGCGGACAATTTGAAAGCACACCTGATGGTTAGGCATGGCAGGAAGTCGACAGCTGGAAGGTACCAATACATCGCAACACTGGACCGAAGCAGCTCTTACTACGACCCTGAATGGACAGGCGAAGTCACCAGTGATGGTCTACCTAAATGAGGTGCTTCAGGGATCGAGTGAAATGGGATGTCAACAGTGCTCTTCAACTACCTACACCATTGAAAATCAAGCTTGGGCTCTACGCCTCGAGCATAGATAAAATGGCCGTCGAGTATTTTCATATCAATCAGCAGCCATCCGTGCGAAGATTTTGCCAATGAAAGCCTACTGCTGTCCACTTTGTTCCATCCGACATCGTGGAATCGAAACCGAGAGGCCGACTGTATCAGATCACCTACAATGGATATCGAGGGCTCTGACGTTTATTCCGCCTTCAGAGCGTCCGCGGATACTGGAAAATTGGCCCGATCAGCTGGTTCAAAGGTCTCCAAGCGAGTTGTGATTATGTTGCGTCCTCAAAAAAACGTGGTCATGACCAAAAACATCCAATTATAATTGTTCCAGAACAGTAATTTGTAGCTCCCATGAGGAAGATTGGTGACAGATGCCATGCCCACCTTGAACCTTTGACTCCGAGAAGATCTACCTCTTTATCAGCTGGACAGAGTACTGCAGGAGACTGAGGCGCCGCAGATATTGATAAGACCCACAATTGATGAAGCCGACCTTTTTCAGCTGAGTGACTAATTTCTTGTGGTTCGGTGCGTACGCCTGGTAGGCGGTTGCACCTTGGAGTCTGGTGCTTTACCGCCGCCACGGTTTCTCTATCTATGATGTGTAAACCCGTAACACAATCAAGTGTCCTGGTGACAGCAATGTGTACAAATTCTGTTTTTCACCCCTCAACTGTCATGTAGCAGCACAAACCGAGACCGCCATCCCCCAATTCGACATGGACGTACAACATCAGCAGAATCGCGGCGAATCAGCACTGGCTAAGAAAGGCTTGCCTATAATCGACCAGAGACGCAGTGCCGTGGAAATGGTACATGGCCAATCAAGGGCAGAGATAGATAGTGCGTCGCCCGGCTCACCCAGACCGCCACGACTAGAAACTCTGCCAGAGCAGATTCGATTCTTTGATATCCAGTTCGACTATCATCTACATGAATATACTATTCGGGCATGTTGTGAGGACGTTCCGGCTTGGACCGACCTCAGATTGGTATCAACATTCATGCTTGGATCCCAGATGTTCAGGTGCGGTGACATAGTAACGATAGAGGTGCTCGGACATGAAAAAGACCAGAAAGCCGGGGCAAACATTGCTCGCATCACTGAAGTCAGGATACTTCCACGATCAGACAGCAGGAAGCTTATCCTGATCACCTGGTTTTACTACCATCATGGACGGTACTACGAGAGCAATCACCTACAGATTGTTCTTTGGGATACCATAGTCGGACGTGCAACGGCGAAACAGACAAAATCGATAAGGCACGGGCAGCTTTACGATGCCTGCGGACGAAGGAAGCTGTGCGACCAGAATCAACACACTTTGTGGCGACGCTATAAACGGAGAGTGACTAGTTGTGGCAGTTGATAGTTAGTGCTATGATCGATGCACCTACCACTTCCGGTTTTATCACGTACTGTACTCTATTGACCCACTGGAAAATAGAAATCCTGTTCATTATGGAAGACGAGTGTTATGTCGCATTACAGACCTCCATCTAGGACTCGATATAGGCGGGTATGGCACAACGTGTAACAGGGACTCTTACAGAGTATTCTTACCTCAAGGTACTGCACGACGAGGTAGTATGTCAGGCCACTCGCCACAGTAGTGCTGACGCAAACATAATAATGTCACCCCGCTATCTATCCTCAATAGTCACATTTGAGACCGAATCAGGAATAAGTCTCCTTATGGTCGATGCGATGGCGATTGTCTCGATGGTAGATACATTGATTGCAGACCTTGCCAAATCCGATTTGGAAACAGCGGGCTCACATTCACGCCGGGGGTGTTGTATTAAATATAGTCTGCAATTACTTCCTCCTGTACCTTCTTCAAGTAGTCGAATGTACTCCTTCACGTAGCAAGACATTGTAAGATTTCCAGGTTTATGGACACCTTGTTGGGTGCCGTCTTCAGATGCAAGTGTAACGATCCAGACATTACGGGACAAACTAGTGAGTTCCTCATGCCTGCCACGGTCGGTATCCAAACTTCATCCACTTCGATCTGTCGATGGCGACCGTGGCCCCGTTCTGTTCGAGTCTAGAGCAACCTTGGACGCGGAAGCCATCTTCCAGGTATTGGCAGGGCGAACCTCACGGTTTGCAAGTGCTGAAAGATACTGTAATGGTATACAGACTGGAGTCAATCTCGAAACAGCAATTGTGAGGGCTCTGAGGAGGATGAAGGGAAAGCAATGGACTGATCACCTCCAACCCCGTCGGCATGCGGGGTTGAAAAATCTAGTGGAGTATACCACGGGTTTCTTGTGTCGGGCTCGCGCTCCATGTTTAAGAGTTCCCGCGATTTTCATTGCTGCTACATCTAGTGGTTAAGATTAAAGTCCACCATAAAATTGGAGTGGGACATGTCTGTGTCTAGAGATGGTACAGTCCTACGCTTCAGGCCATACCGACAGTCATGGCCAATGCCGACCTGCCCAAACTTCATACCTTCGACCGTGCACATATGAAAATGGGATGCAGGACATTCGCCACAGATCTGCGTTCGGTCAGGTCGAACGCGTCGCAATCGAAAAGGTCTTTGAGTACCGAGGCCATCACCGTTGACATCGTGCGACGGCTTAACGAATACAAACGCGAGATCCATTTTTTTCGTGCCGTCTACAACGGCTCAGAGGAGTTGATCTCCGGAATCCGGTCGGTCGTGCAACAAATGATTTTAAACTACTATCTAAGACCGGAGGTTGATGGTGAGCGCGACGAGCAATGGCTCGAGCTGAGTGCAGAACTGGATGGCTATCTCAACTGCTTCCAGGCAACGGCCAACGCCGCCGAAGTCGAGTGGCTTGAGTTGAGTTCCCGCCAAGCGGAGAGAGACAACTCGTCAGACGCGTTCTAGCACATTCTGCAGATACACTGGATGCGATCTTGTGGCAAAATTGAGTGCTATCCAGGTCATGCATACGGGACCAATGCTTCTGACTGGCGTGAGATGGACTTGATGATAAAGCCAGTCTGCAGTCCTTATTCAAAGTACTGTACTCCATCAACTTCTGGAAGGACGTTTTCAGATTCCTTGTCGACAGCGCGCTTATTGCACATGCAATGTTGCATTATTTGCGTGCTCGGTCGACCGTGTGCCTACAGTTCTTATAAGCGGTACGTTGCGCAGTCGCAAATAATCTATTCTGCACGCGATGCAAGACCAGCGAACAGTCACATATGGCTTGCATTGTACCTTGCTATCTATAATACAGCTGATTTGGTCTCACCCTGAGACAATAACATCCAAACATGTGGTGTAGTACTGCTCCGCGGACGAGTTTCCAGGACTGCCTGGCCAATCCCATATCCAGTAAACGGTCAAAATAGAGGACGGTGCTCCTGATGCTGATCTGCATGTATGCCATCTTGGCACAGTGAAATTTGTCGCGCACCACTTGTTCTCACCCTCGGGAGGGCTGCTCTCGTGAGGGAAGGTGGCTTGACGAAGCCTGGAAATCTGACCCTCGTTGACCTGATAACACTGTCCGTCGTCGAAAGCGGACCGTGTCAGGAGAAACTCCTCTTCGTTCGATCCAGGCTCCAGAGTGCCCCAAACGCGGTGAATATCTCGGAATTTTGCCGAGGGTACCGGATGCCACGTCCCGTAAACAAAAACGACACCAGAATCAGGCTTGCCCGGGGAAGCCTCGGGTAGCGCGATATGGCCATTCTCTTGATACCGGAGTGAGACAACATCACCCGGTGCGGCCTGCAGTGCTAGTGCCGTGACTAGTTGTGCTTGTCGATCACTGCAGATGTTGTCAGTACTGGTCACTTGCGACTTGGGTGCTTGGGGAAGCTTGTAAGTCATTTCCTGGTCAACATCAACCCCGGGAATGCGAAACACTATGGATGCTGTCAGATTTCCATCCGTGGCATTAATTTCACGGTCCTACCATTGCATCTCGCGTAGCCAAGAGGACCGATTCGCTGACCATGCTCGTCGACCACCACCGCTTCTTCAACCCAGCTGTGGCTCTCGACAGGGATACCGACGAGAATTAAGAGAATCAAATATCTGATCGAATACCCAATCATGTCTCCGGGCGTCGTAGGTAGTGTCATGGCTAGTGGATCAACATTGATGTCCACAGCAGTGTAGGTACAGCTGGGGACCCAACGTACTAAAGCATTGCGTTATGGTTACAGTACCACGGAGCAAACAGCACAAAGCATGGTAGTACCCCCTTTCCAAATCTACCTCACTCACCCGAGAAGTGGTTCTGACAGCTTGGAAACGGTGCTTGTCCCCTGGCCCCCGAGAGAGGAGCCCATGGTGCTGCAAATTGACCAAGCATGTCGGGTGCAATAGATTTTCGAGGTGTTGAAGCGCAGTAGCACCAGTTCTAGCGCCCCGGTGCCGTAAGTTGGGGAGACGGTTCCCACGTGTAGTGTGCTGGCCTTGGTAAATACACTGTTACCTGTTGCCTGTGATCATCTTGGCACGTTCTCTTTGGGATTCGTTATACAGTAAGTACCGCCATCTTGTGATATGTACAGTAGTAAATGCAGTACGAACCGAAGTTATTTCCATCTTTTGCAGATCTGCCGGATCGGTAGTGGCGCCATATCTCCCTGTGCCTCTTGTGTGCTCAGCCGATACAAGGCTTCTACGATGTCCGAAGACGGCTCCACCAAATGGTATACCTTCATAGTCGCAGTACCCGTTCTCGTTCGTGTCATCATCTTATCTCTCATCAACACCACGAATTGCTATAAAACCCGGAAATTCCCCAATCGGGCATGGTCAAGGCCTTACACGCTTTTGTCTAGGCAACTGTGCCGCCCAGCAGCACAGCACTGTGGCGATATCAATTTTTCGAGCCTCATCATCACGGCAAATGCTGTTGCGTTGGTCTTGCACGCTAAGAGCATTCGCGAAGTGGCAAGCCGTAGCGGCATGGTGGCAACTGTCAACTTCGCTCTACTTCTCGCCGGCTCGCAATTCGACATTGTTGCGTCTTTTCAGGGAGACTCCCTGCGATCGCAACTCATGATCCACCGATGTCTCTCGGTAATAACCTTATTCACGGCCACATTACACATCCTGGCCATCATTTTGAGCGAAAAGGTGTCGCTGGTATCTCCTGTCATTTGGGGATCCACGGTGAGTGAATATCCGGTGAACTGATGATCAAGAGCCGTCCTAATAGTATGTCGTCAGGCGGCGCTCTGCTCATTTGTCACCATATCTGTGACACTTCATCGAGTGCGCCAAAGGTTCTTTGAGGCCTTCCTCCAGATCCACTTTTGGGCAACAGTCGTTGCTGCGGCGGCTCTGCTGAAACACATTGCAGAGCAACGGCGTGCCTCTCGCCTTTGCATCCTCGTCGGCATTTCTATATGGTCCGCACTCTTTTCCTATCGTCTCATCATACGATGCCTACGAAACGTACGAGTTGGGGGAGGTGCTCGGATCCCAAAAATTTCGGTCAGAAAGGTCTTCCGCACATCAAGTGATGATCAGATCGTTCTGAGTGATGCGTATCACATCCATCTATGGGTGAGTCGATCTTTCGTGGTACAACCAGGACAGTACCTGTACCTCACTGTACCTTGGCTTGGTTTGGCTTCTCTGTTCCAGAGCCATCCTTTTTGGATTGTCTGGTGGGATTCGGACCTTTCTCACGACGGCATGTATCTGCAGATGCTAGTCCGGCCGCGCCAAGGGTTTACAGGACGACTCGCCTCATATCGCGACAAGCAGTACTCTGCATGGATCGAGGGGCCTTACGGAGTATCCAGAAACTTGGCGAGGTTTCGAACCGTGCTCATGTTCGCCACCGACATTGGTATTGCCGCTCACGTGCCATACCTAAAGTGGTTAACAGAGAATTACCGGGCATCCGCGGCAGGCCCGACACGGATTGTCGTAGTTTGGGAGGTCAGTGATAAGAGTGAGTCTCAAGTGTGAGTTCCTAACTCGTACTCACCGGGCATAGGTCACGTCAATTGGACGAAGACTTGGTTTGATCAGCTTTTGCAAAAGGATACTGCCCACGTGCGTTCATTCTCTTGCATGAAAAAGCCTTACTAAGTTTCAGATGCTTGATGTTCGAATACATTGCCCCAGAGACAAGTATCCCGGCCTGAAGCGAATAAACAGTGAGTCAAGCTTGTTGTTGAAGACTTGATTAACCACAATAGGGATGAGAACCGCGCCCAGGCTCCTTTGTCGGCCAGCCAACCTCGACAGAATTGCCAATGAAGAGTTTCGACGACAAGGACGTGGGCCTACCCTACTCTCAGGTTTGCAAGCTCTCTTTGGGCATGACATGTAGCTCTAACCATAGTGCAAGTATGTTTGGACCAAAAGTCACAACAACGATGTCAGCACATCGTCAGAGAGAGGAGAGACGGTAGTATTGAGTATATGGAGCATGATTTTCATGTTCCCGAGTTCTAGAAGCGTGCAGCTTGACCTAGCTGTAAGACAAAAACCTTCGATGACATTTGCAGTAAACGTGGGGATGTTCTGTGAGCCATGGTGAGCACGATTTGTTGCGAAACCCACATAAAGTCATGGACCGGTGGCGAGAGCGTATAGCCGATATGGAGAAAAGCGCGGCTTTGCTTTTCGAACTGTCGCTGGTCAGTTATATAGCATACAGACATGCAGATTCCATCAAACTGGTTGATCCAACCCTCTCAATGTCCTCCTGCAAACACTTGCACTGGCTTGAGCTCATCGGAAGACAGCATGACTGGACACTGCTGGACCCGGATCGGCTGAAATCGATCGAAGACCTTCTGCCGGATCCAACACGACAGACGCCCATTCTTATAGTCTTTTTCGGCAAGTCGCGAAAGGCTTCGGCTATACAGACAGTCTTCCCCAAGAATAATCTGAGCAGGAGGGACAGTCATGGTGTTGCCAATTTGTTTGTCGACCACACATCCGAGAACAGCGACAGCCCTTGGCTGATCGCCGATTGTACTTTAAATGCCAGTCCAGCGAATCATTCTGGGGCGTATGGCACTTGTCATGACAATCGACGACTATTCATCAATTATGGCGAAGCAGAGAACGGTATCGATCGAGCGACGGTTGTTGCACATCTGCACATCAATCTATTGACCCCACTGGCTCATGTCATATGCCTTTTTGCAGAAGATTTCGGCTGCAACAAGACGTGTTGTGATTACCTTGGACAGTGGTTATCTGTTCGAAAGCAGACATCGAGCCAACGGCTCATGGCGGCCCCTGATCTGATCGTGGTGACGGAGGACCCATCGACCATTGACGTTTTTATTCAGCTTGAATGCGAAACAGAGTTCAGCAGTGTCTTCGCAACATTGACCGTTGTCACTGTGGACGCTTGCGCCCCATCGATCCTGACTGCCCAGAAACTGCAACGAATCTTGCAAGATACGGCTAAGGTGAGCGAGCAGATCCGATCTGAAGGTCACTTGCTCCTGACAGCCTGTCACATGAGGCGCATCTTCCATCATGGTGTCGGAATATTTGCTGCCAGCCCGAGCCGAGGATTGGATATTCTCTCGTCTTCCGATCACCCTGCTGCTAGTCTGTCGACACCATTCAGCACACATTTGAAAACGTTCGTCAGGCAATCGCAGAGCCTCGGGTTGGAACAGACAGCGGTGATTGGGCTGCTGGCGTCGGCCTTGTTGAACCAAGGGTACCCCGAACTTTTGCACCGTACAAACTATCCCCGCTGGTGCAGGACAAGCACTGACATATTACAGGATTTGCCCCACATCTGATATATGGACGTTTTTTCGCCGCTATAGTGTCGTCGTTGTCGATAGCACATGCGAATGCTCAATTTCACGAGAGTGTCAGGGAAGAATTCGAGAGATTGTTTTCACTGATGACATCGGAGAGAACGGCCGCGATGATCAGAACCAATTATTTGAAGAGATATTGGAGCCAACTTCGAAAACTCCACTCGACAACGACATGCTGGCGGTGCATGGTCCGGGCTCCGGAGCATATGTTACATACGGGCCATGGTCTCTGCAACTCATGTGTGCTCGAATCTAGCGTCGCAGCTAAGTGTGTCTATGCGTATCGCATTCAGAGCTGTCCGGTCTGCGGGCACAGACAACCAGCCACAATCTCGATCAAGCCATGGACGGTCGAGCCCAACGTGCTCGCCATCGATGGCGGAGGTATCAAAGGCATTGTGGCACTAGTCCTCTTGAAGAAGCTTACGGCAGTTCTCGGATCGAACACTGATGAGTACTTCCACTACAGTGCCGGTACCAGTGCAGGTAAGTCATGTTTGAAGACATATTCCAATGAATGAGGCTTATTATACAGGTGGCCTGGTTGTCCTCGACTACATTGTCGGCGCAGCAACAATCGAATCGAGCATCGAGCGTTTCAAATGCCTTGCACGCCGAATCTTCCCTCTCAAAAGCTACGGCAGATTTCCACTCTTGTGGAAGTTAGTCGACTGGTTGAAGTGGCTCCTGACTGACAACAAATATGACTCAAGCATATTGGAAGATGTTGTGCAAGAGGTTTTCGGAACTCGTGAACGCCTCTTCGGAGATCGAGCTCATCGCGAGCAATCTCGCGTCGGTATCATGGCCACGACAGCTTCGAGCAGCCAACTGAGGATATTTACCAACTACAATGGCGAGGCTCGCGCCGAACAAGGTAACGCTTACGCCATCCTACGTAGTGAGAAGGCTACAGAAGAGCCCTTTCTGTGGGAAGTGTAAGTCAACTTCCTGGCGGGGTTGACACAGTCTGACCATGATTAGTGCTCGTTGCACCACTGCAGCACCGGGGTAAGTCGAATCATCAGTAGCAGGCTCACTGTATTAATGATGACGAGGTTTTTCCGCCCAAAGCAGCTGAAGTTTTTCGGGAGTTTACAAGATGGCGGAATGAGAGCGAACAACCCCTCGGCCGTGGCGAGAGTTGAGCTTCGTTACCTTTGGCCGCAGACCCCCAACCCGCACATACTGGTCTCGATAGGAAACGGCTACTCTAGACAAGATCTGGCCGATGTTGGGGCTGACCGCGGGTTGTTGCGAGACGGATTTATCTCACGAATTCTCCGAGGTTTTATGTCGTCGCCTTCTGTCGACGGCGACAGTGGGTGGCTAAACCTTCTCGACAATTTGTCGGCCGAGGAAAGAACACGGCATTTTCGATTGAGTATCCCGTTCGATGGCGACCCTCCCGCGCTTGATGATGCTTCTTCGGTGTCGCGGCTAGAGGCGCAAGCCCTCGCTTACAAAGAGGACTACTCCGAGCTTGTAAGACGGCTGTGGGCTTCACGCTTCTTTCTGGAATTTGAAAGCGAACCCTGCTACTCCTTTGGCGAATATCATTGCCGAGTCGCAATTCACTTTCACGGGGACGACGTTAGGCCCTTGCTGAGAATCATATGTCAGAAGTATCCTTATCCCCAGCTAAAACAGGGTAACAGGATCGTGTCCCGTTTGTATCAGCATGACCACATCTGCCAGACTTGCGGACACTTACAGTTGGCTGTGAATTTCAGGGTCCGAAGCTTGGAGGAGTGCATATCGGTGAAATTGGTATTTACTTCCACCGTCACTGCGCCTATCAACGGCGACGGCCAATGTGCCGCGTGGTTCCTCGGACGACAAATGCTATATGGGCGCCTAAGACGATGGCAAGGACGCCAAAGGTGCTGCGCGCAGCGACTGGACTCCAGCAGGCAGCAAATATCTCATGCCAGCAAGAAACGTAAAGCCGCCGAGCTCTAGATATCAGCAGAATCAAGATGTGGGGGAACAGGCCGACACAGCACACTGTCTGGTCGAGTCGCATGTTGCTGTGAGATTGGTTCACATCGTATGGGCTTGTCCGGCATCATCAAAGGAGCACAACGTCTAAATGACGCTTTCCGCAAGGGCATCTCGGGTATTTGTAGGAGAAAGATGCTCACCGCCACAAGGAGTGAGCCTTGTGAGGGATCCCAACGTTAGCAGAAAGCACAGCTGGTCTGACTTTGATCATAATAAGACAAATCAAGGTACCCATCCAGCCTGATCGCGTAGATCAAAAGGTCAGGTGACTAGAGAGACTGCATTCCCCCGTCGTTAGCTGTAATTTTGTATTTAGACGAAGCCAACACTAGCAGGAGCAGACCGCTTCCAATTAAGTCGCCAATGCTTCTGGATGACCTATCTGTGTGTCGCTTTCTCTTCATGCTCTTCAGCCATATGCAAATTGATGTTCCCCGTCATGTCCACTGTAGCGTGAGCGTTCGTGATGACTGCCACGGTATTGGACAGACTAGAGTAACGGGTTTGAATAAAAGAGACCAGTGCATCGCTAACACCTTTGGAGTCTTCTGCTATCCAAACGACGCCATCGTCCGCCGGCTGATTATGTCCCCTCCATGTCCTCGACAGCTCCTCGTCCACCCGACGCGTGCTAGCGTTGTGAGCGACGTCTCCAGGGTAGGGTGATCCTTGCGCCTCAAAACCTGGGTCGACAGTGCTATACTTCTTGCCGGCATGCTGTCGGTAGCGGAACGTCCCGTAGAAGAGCAGAAGAAGTGTTGTGAGTTGTGGAAGGTCATGCTTCAGATTCGGAGATGCTAACTTCAGGAGGAATAGCCCAATGAATGTGAGCTCCATGACGAGGAGGCCCCAGAACAGGCTGTGTAAAGATGCAAGATATAGCTCGCCGTTGGTTGGGCTCGTCGCCTTGCCGACATACACCTGAGCGTAACGAAACCGGATCCGCGAAAGTACTGCACAGAGGGATGCCACAGGCAAGATTAAAGGAGAGAAGAGAGCGTAGATGATGACTCAGTTTGGATTAGACGCGCCTCCCAAAGCTGTGTAGATGGGACTTACCGATGACAGAAACAACAGTAACAAATGGGTACACCTCGCCTAAGAAGTTCCCCACTCGGCGCCTCTCAACGTCCTCGAGAACACGCCGAGGCGGCTGCCACCTTGAACGCCAGTGATAAAATCGCAGCAACATCGGGATCCGGATCGTGGTCGATGCTAGTTCTAGGGCTGTCTGGAGTGGGATGTAGGCCAAGTAGTAGGTGCCGGACCGGGGTAAGTTTTCGGCCAGCGTCCGCGGCAGTTCCCAGAGACCTGCTTTGATCATCTTGGACATGATGGTGATCAGTCCTGTTGAGATGGACGTGGTGACGAAAAGCTGCGTGAACAAAAACCAGAAATACCAAGTTTGCATGGTTATTTCAGCTTCGGCTCGCGAGTGACAACACCGCGAATTAGTAAGTGCCCTCAATACACCACGCATCATCTGCATCAAGATGGTGGTCAGTATTTGTGGCAGAGCGCCTTGTATCAAACCGATCGCCGATGCTGGCATTTGTAAGCCGCTGACTCTACCCAGCAAAGGAAGTACTGTGTTCATCTGACTGACCGCGCCTATTGCCCCCATTGGTACGGACGACAGGATCACCAAAAGGATGGTGCCGAGGTTCAGCGCTTCCGAGAACAGTTTACTTCGGTCGTCAAATTGGATAATGTTAGGTACCAACAGCTCCGATAAAGATGTTCCCAGATAGTGCAGATTTATCCTTCCGTCATGGGCAGGACCATCAAAATTGCACAACAGCTTGGCAGCGCGGTAGCTGTCCAGAGCTAGGATTGCTGCCGTTGGGCAGGTCTCCACTTCCTGCATTGCCTGCTGATGTTCTCGCGATAGCTGCAGCAGTGCTTCATAGAGCACGGCCACGCGCTGGCAAGAGTACGGCATGACGCTTTGACATGGTGAAAGCCATCGAGATGTCCAGGACGAGCCGTGCTGTTGATAGCGGCTGGTCAGTTCTTGGTCCAGCATAACCGTCTGCCCCTCTCGGATATAGCGAACCAATCTAGCGATGAAGCGCGCCTCGACGTGCTCAATGGCATGAAGACAGCGTCGACGTCGATCTGAAAGACGGATTAATAGATCACCTCGTGGTAACCACACGACGTAATTGAGGTGGGATTGCAACTGGCCACAGATATCTCGAATGCCCCCTTCATCGCGATACTCCTGAGGCAGGCCCTCGACCTGAACGAAATGTGTAACGGACTGATCACTGAGTCTTTCTCGAAGAAGTCGCGATCGCTGTATGAGAGTTTGTTCCAGCTCTCGACCAACCATGACTTGTATGAAGACAGCGAATGCGAGTGTGAGCACAACGTAAAGCCAATAGGGCTCGGGACTTGTGGTAGATAGGCTGGACCACCCAAGTCGGTCGAGAGGGTTCAAGTCATCCTTTGCTTGGCCAAAGTAATGATTGAAAAGAGCCACGACCGGTGTTACGATAATTGCAGAAGAGCCAAACAGCACAGATTGGAATCGGAGAAAGCGGTCGAAGAAAAAAGGCTCTATGCCATCGATAACCGTCGTTCCTTGAGGCCAGGCGCCGAGCAGTCGGTGGCACAGGTTCTGTAACTGCGTCGGCCACGGTTTGCGCTTCGGATCTAGTCGTTGGCCGCCCGTAGCTTGTGGATGGCTGCGTGCCAGCGTCAGCTCGAATGTTGACACACACAGGCGGAACTCACATCGTCGCCCGCGGACTCCTTGATGCATGGCGAATCAGACCAACAACCCCAGCCACCACTATGATCCCACCCGCGCAGGTTACCGCCGTGACCACTGTTCTGAAATTGTATGTCCTCGCCTTGGCAGCACGCTCGTTCTCGGGTATAGTGATGCTGTCCATATCTTGGTAGATCACGAGGCAGGGGAGGCACTGAACGTGCAGTTGAGTCGCAAGTATGGGTCAAATTAGCCGACGCACCAGAGTCGGAACCCTCGGCGGTCATAACGAGAAGAGGATGAAGCCGAACGATTGGAGCAATTATAGACATCCAACTCTGTAGCAAGCATCTGATGGGCTCAACTCGTGCTGCAGCCCGCGGAAGATGTGGAATGGCGCGGCACAGGCGCTCGCAACTGCAGGGTAGTCGCACATGTCCAGCTGTGGCACCAAAACTCAACCCGTATCATTGTGTAGTAGCCAGCGACCTGCTCGGTTGTCCAGACGTTGCGGGAGCGAACCACAAGAAATTGGTGGGTGCAAATCGACTAGTCCTGTTTTGGACCAGGAGCTGCAGATACGACGCACGGGCCACAACAATCACCTGTCCGTAGAGGTCCGTGCTTCAGTGACCCGCTCTCGGCAGCGTCTGGCGCCGCAGAGGCAGGGTCCGTCCAGGGACGATCTCTTGAAGTCGACAGTGATCTCCTCTGCATCGTATATGTCCCGTGCTGCCGTCATGATCAATCTGTATTGGCCTGACACTTTCATCGCCTTTACGCGGGCCGATGGGCGGCAACTGTGATTGCTGAGTCGCAGGCAGGGGCCCCTTTTGGCAAAATCGATCTGACAGACAACTGGCTCACACAGGATGTCCGGATGGTTGAAATCCATGATCATAGTACCGTGATGAGTTCCCGTCGGCACGATCTCGCCTGATAGAACTCCGATATATTCTCCTTCCACATATGCGACCTGACCAGGAACCCCTGCCACGGCGCGAATACCACGACCTTTGTCGGCATAGTTCTTGATGCGAGGCTGCACACTTTCAGCCCGTGCAAATTTCGTAGTATAACAACTGCATTGGGTTTGTGGACAGAGCTCGCATTGTGGATGATTAAGAATGACCATTGGGTTGGTCGGCCATTCTTTATAGGTTGGCCAGTCAGGCGGTCTCTCCCATCCGGGATATTTTTCCGGACTGTAAATGTTGTCCACCTCCCACGTGATCGGAGAAAGGCACTCAAGTGCTTCCAGCGGTGATAGTTTCTGCCAGCACACTTTTTCTGCCTCCCATCGAAACTCGACGTCTTCTGCTAACGGAGACAGCGACTCTATGAATTTGGCTCCAATCGCATTGAGCCTGTTCGCATATTCGCAGGCGAGCAGCGCTCGGAATGTGCTGATATCGGTAGCAGACATGTCGATATAGTCTGTGCACGAGACTTCGAACGGCAAGTGATCGTCAACTAACAAGAAACACAAGAGGCCGGGATGCGTCTTAAAAAGCTCCAGCCATTTCCGGCCTCGACTTTCGTGACGTCTGAACTTTTGGTAATCCCAGCCGCTGCGCTTGACGATATTCTTGATGTCCTGCGGATCATTTCGTATGCGTCCTTTCCGTTTGTGCTCCATGTGCCGAGCCAATTCGAATTCGTGTATACGAACAATGAATTTATCGAGATGGGATTGCGCCTGAATTCTACCCAGATTGTGAAGGCGCAGCTCGAGTTGGCGCTCGTCACCGTCGTCCGCGACCCAACAGCTAAGAGGGGTCTCAGTGTGCCGTCGGGATTGGACGAGATTGCAGAACGAGACGATCGCAGGTCTGCTCAAGATCGCCGCAACAAGTTTTAGGACCGATGGGGACACAGGGGGATCATATGGCGGGATCACGCAGAAAGGGTCCAGCTTCTGGAGATACTGCACCATCTGCGTCAAAGCTGGATTTGGATCTGGTGATCTTCGTCTCTTAGTTGTGTTTGGAAGGTGAGACCGATCACTCTTGCGTTTCTCTGGCGGCTTTAGGACTGCTCGACGTGACAGCTTGGCTGGCATCTGGGTAATGGCTTTCTGGTTCGGATGCTTCTGACTCGCAATGTCTTCTTCAGGTTCATGCCCCGTGTCGTCGCTCTGCCTGCGCTGTGCTTCGCCTGGTTGAAGAAATCGGAGGTAGGCATTTGGGATAGGGTAGCCGGGACAGCCACGGCTTCCACGTCTGCATTCCTTGTAGCCCTCCACAGTCCACGACGGCGGTGCGTAATTCACGGCCTCGGCCACCTTACTTCCAATATTTCCACCCTGGTGGTACGTCTTCCCAAAGAGAACGACGGCCTCTCCGGGATACTGAAGGAACAACTGATAGGACACGCCGAGCCGTTCCAGCTCCGAGGTAGTGAAGTACCAGCGCTCATGACGAAGCTTCTGATCGCACGACCACCGCGACTCCAGCCCTTCAAGCACGGGGGCGTATTTCGGATCGACGGTTAGCCATAACACAGGTCCTCCCTTGTGCAGCACGTTGATGGACCACGTATTCTGGTCTTCGCGGTGGCTGGTGAAAAACCCAGTCCCTAGGTACCCGTACGGAGAGTGAAGTCCATCAACCTCGTACAAAGTCTTATCGAGTTGGTTGTGTGGCAAGGGGTAGATAGGCGACCGCAGCGGCAATCCACACGCGCGACGCTGTTCTTCCGTCTGAGCTGGAAGATCGGTACAATAGCGCATCTTACTCAGTTGTTGGAAGTCGCTAACGATATTTTCGAGTTCGGCAGCAAGAATCTGCGGCTCGGTCTCCAGTGGATCTGTTGGCACGACTGTGACAGATTCGCTGTGCTGGTGATATGTTAGACAAGTTCGGCCTGTGTCACTGCGCGCCGATGAAAAAGACCATGCAGAAGTGGCTTGTCCACTGCTGACCCCTCCGCCGCAGTCTGTGCTCAGGATGTACTTAAATACTCCGGTCTCTGTAGCGTTGACCTTACACGCCTGCTCCGCAAGAAAGGGCAGATCTCGACATTCTTGCATGTTCTTTGGGAGAAGAGTGACGACTCCGTCTCTTATTCGATAGGTTATCTCGATGCCGTCATCGCAGGGAGTCGGGAGTCTCTCAACTGATTCTGTTGAAGTGGTAGGCCGCTGAAGATCTTGATTGCTGACTAGGTCTGTACGATCCGGAACATTTCCAACCGCGACTTCGGTGCGCTCAAGGTCGGGTCCAGGGCCAGGATCACGGTTCTCAGCAACTATGCTGACGAATTTCGCGATCGCTTTGCAAAAGTCCTGTAGCGCGTGGGCAAGCTCGGGGGCTCCTGGGTCCAGACTCAGTAATTGGTTTTCGTCAGGTAGGCGGAGGCTGCCTGTTGAGGCCGCCCGCACGAAGCGTTCGAACAAGTCGCAGTCAGCGTCCATGCTCACTGGCGCTTGTGTGAGGAATGACCACGCGTGCAGGCTGGACTCCGTGGACGTGACAGATGTCGCAACTGGGGGCCCACACGACGCCCTTGGCGCCAGTTCCTTAGGGCTCGGGCCATGTGCCTCCGTTGTGGAGCACAAAGATCTAATCCCTGCCAATGAGGTTGAATTTCGTGACACGGTTCGGCATTTTAGTATTATTACTAGATTCTAATTCCCTGTGCCGATGCATTCAAGAAGATTCTGCTATATGGTCTTATTGTAGCGGACATCATCCATTTTTGTACCAATAATGGACAGCAGCGGCGAACTGCCTCCATATGATCACCTTGCAGATATGGTCTTTCTTGGGCATATCAATCCTGCGAGTTCGAGATCGCGCGTTGCTAACAGCCTTCACCTGGCAGGATTGAGCATGAATCTCGACATCACCACCTCACACAGTGGACACTCTTTCCTGGCAACTCCCCATTAATAACAAGCCTTCCATAGAGCGGAAGCGAGTCACAGCCGCCGGCGGAGGGGACAAGCATTGAGCCTGGAGCGACGTGGTGATCGTGGACAAGTCGGCAGCCTGCTCAGTATTTTCATAGTTGCTTCCAACTCCTGCATCATGTTCGATGCAAGAACTCTGGGTTCCGACACTTTCAGCGAGCCACAACGTGCACGGATCTGAGCGACTCCATAGAGTATGGTATGGTGGTGGACTTTGCGAATGCACTGAGTCGAAACTGTGACGCTCATGCCATCCACCATTTTCAGGCTCTCGCACTAGCTCATCCCTCGACCCTGAACTCGAAGGTCCTGCGTAGGAGGTGCAAATAAGGTATAGTGCAATCGAAAGGAAAGTGGCAACTCCGACGATGATGATCACCCATAACAAGGCTGGATCTTGTGTAAGTTGCATGGCTTGAGGTGTAACTTTGTGAAGGGGTTGCTCGGTCAAATGCAGAATTCGAAAGTGTGCGAGAGATATAATGGTAAACCTCGACAGGGCTTATATGCGTGGACAACTAGCTAGATCCTGTCACTCGTTCACAGCGTCTAGGAAAGACGCCCTGGCGCGCCATAATGGCGCAGACGTGGTCGACCAGGCAGACTGGGGCTAAAGGCGCTTAGCTAGAGACAAACCAGCACAGCTGCGCCAGCTCACGAATGACAATGGAAGCCTAGCTGGACGGTGTCTGATCACACGTCCTAAGAGCAATGCTGTGAGCTCTGACTTCGTGTGCTGCCTCTACGTTAAAGAGAAAATTTCCCTGACGGACGGGGCGAGGAACATTTGAGTGATACACAGCCAAACAAAGTAGGATATATAGGCACAACCTCCTGGATTGGCACTTCCGCTTGCTGAACTATTGGGCATTCCCATCGACGAGCACTGCATCTTGTACGACACTTTGAATCCCATCATGTATGGTCATGCAGTGGAAAGATTAGCTGCTGGTAGTTGAGGAAGTGCCTAGAATTCGTTGTTGTGGTGGAATGAGAGCAAACTACCGTCAGCCAGGCGCTAAATCGGGCCATAGCCAGCGCTAAGCTTCGGCGGCTACGCTGCGCGACCAATGGCTTGTGGGGGCCATTTTCGGGCTTGCTTTCTCCTTAACTTCGATCAAGGGTGGCAGCGCCAGGAACAGCGATTGTGATTGGTTCCATTGCCAAGAGCAAGGCTCGGTGGCTGGGGCCAATTCTGCTGTTGACGCCTGCACGAGATCCTGCATATCGACGGGCATCCGCGGAGGAGCTTGTTCCACTCATTGCAGGCTACCGTCGCTGATGCCGCTCAAACCTATTAGATTTCTTACAACAGAGCCATCCATCTTGGAACATAGACCGAATGTTCGAGAATAGTACACGTCTCTCCAAGACGATGTGCCAGCGGCACTGGTCTCCGTTGAAGCTATCTCAAGAACGCATTCATACACGTCTGATCAAATTGCGCAGCCCATCGAGGCAGTTGTCAATTGCAGGTCCATCGTTGCACTAGACAAAGCGTGCCTCAGGGAAGCAGGAACTGATTATCCTTCGGCTGATAATATTCAGACCTGGGCACGCACCGCGATGGAGGATGCTGGTACTGGTCAAAGCAAGCCCATCTGCACACGGTATCGAAGATCTGGGTACAAACGAACACGGTCTGGCTGTATGACCTGTCGACAACGGAAGAAGAAGTGCGATGAGACTAGGCCAACCTGTAAGTTCCTCGACTCCATCATGATTTTCAGCGTTGATTGTATGCCCATGCAGGCAATAATTGCAGACTCAACGACCTTCAATGTCTCCCAGCCGTCAAAAAGCGACGCCCGTCGAATCCAAAGGCTCTGGTTCCACTGATCGTAGCCGACCACAAGCTACCGCCTCTACAGCAGGCATGCTCATCCACAGATATAGGCCAGCCACGATTTGGTTCAGAGCAACAAGAGCGTCCTCATCCTGGACCACCGCATGTCGCCAACACAACCGCTCCACTTTTCGTTGCTGAGATGCAGCAGTCAGCGACGGTGAGCGTCACACCCACATCGCAAGCTCCATATCTTGGGCCGAGTCTCGTCCAGTACAGCCAGACCTATACTAGACACCACCAACCCGCCCTCTACTGCTCGTCGATACCCGGGAATGCCGAAATGTCTGTTAGTGTCGCCACTGCACCAAAATCACTACCAGTCGGGCTCAATTTACATCTCATCAGAGATATTAGAGATGCTCTAGATGCGTTACAAGATGTAGAACAGTTTCTCGAGCACATCGATAGGCAACTCGAGCCTTGCCGTTCTCATACATCTGGACAGTGGCGATGCATTTTGGATGGGTTCGAAAATAGACTTTGTGAGCGGAAGAGACGTCTGAAAAGGGCCATTTTCGAGACTTCTCCGCGCTGACAACGAGCTATGATCAAGAGCAATCTCGAAATGAAGGCTCAAACTTGAATGCCTGTGACTGCGTGCCTTCAGATTCAATACCGTCTCCGTGGGCAGCCATTCGTGTCTTCATTCGCTAGTGTTGACGGTGCAGGTTGATCGTGATTCGTCACACTATTGCTGGCTGGAACCTCTTGCGATTCAGCCGGGGCGCTCTGGCCTTGGCAGATTAGTAGAGATAAAATGTTACCATTCACTTCCATCGTTCTCTCTATGCCCTATATATGACCGCGCTTTTCCCGTCCGTCGATTCGAACTCCAACTTCACTGCAAACCTACCACATGAAGCTTTCCTGAACGATGTCATTCGGTGAGCATAGCAAACGCGCAGTAGTGTGCGGCGATTCTGCTGTACGCCAATTGCGCTTGGATAATAGCTTTGACGACGTGGTCTTCGACACGGAGTTCCTTCTACCACTGTCACTAGTCGGTCTGAGCCATATCGCTCACGAAACGATCTATCACGACGCTGTTCGGTATCTCATAAGCCCCGCTCTTGTTGAAATGCTAGCAAGGGAAGAGGTCAGGAAATGGGAGAGCATGCAAATCGAAACGGTTCTTGGAAAGATCCTCGGCTTGAGACGCGGTGGGCAAGCACATAACATGATTCCTACTGAACCCACTGAGCACATGTTTGAGAATGCTCTTCTTCGATACCTACGATACGCTCGGGATGTCCAGCTGAGGAAGTGCGTTCGCGAGCACCGCAGACTGCGTGAAATTGATGAAGAGGTTGCTCAACTAAATCACAAGGTGGGCCCCACAAGCAACGAGGTCGCGCAGACGGTGGGAGATGGGGATGAAGACAACATCACTTTTATTGATGATGAGTGTATGTCTTCACGCAGCCAATTTGGTGACGAAAGAAATTCTCAGAAGGCAGGAGAGCACGCTCGTGCGTCTTCACTGTAGCTCTCTGAGCAGATTATCAGCAGCATCTCGACAGCGCGACACTTTCTCTTGGATCTTCATATGATCTGATTCGCTGTTCATGTACCGGTTTTCAGCCTTCTGCAGTTGACCTTCACTGCAGCCTAGCTGCATGTGGAGGACTCTGACCCGCTCTTCTAGGGTCTCACACTGTCCTTGTAAAGTTGCGATCAACTGATTTCGGTTTTTGACGGTGGCGCTGAGGTTCCGTATTCTCGCCACAAGCAACGCGTTGCGATTTCTCAGTGCTTCAATGGTCGAAGTGAAAGTTGGTGAGACCGACGACCCTGTCTCATCGGTGAGCTTGAAGCTGGATTCCCGAACAGAGATGGCGGAGCCGATTGTCCCTCCATCTCGCCTCCTGACCTCAATTGAATGGCCAATTGCCGTGCAAATTTCGCGATAGGCACCAGTATTAAGCTTGCTCAGGGGCTTCTCAAACAAATGCTTCTTCTCTGGCAGGAACAGCCATCTGTATCGATCTCCGGGGAGTGTTCTCAAGCGGACTTCAGTCGGTGCTACCGAAAGATCGGTATGCTCATCTGACGACGTTTCAGCTCAGAATACGCAAAAGAGTGAGAATCAAACCCACGTATGAACTGAGAGAGAAGCTGCCGGCACTTGGTTCGCCAGTAGGCACGGACTCTGCTTGCAGAATTTGCATGCTTTTCTGCCATCTTTGCTCAAGGCAAGCATATTGTAGCAGGATGACGAGTTCCCAGATATTGTACATTGCATTTGCCTGGCCATGCTGCTGTAATCTATGGTGAGTGTCCGAACGATCCGCTGTTCTGCAATATGTGAGGATTGTGAAAGCGCACCCACGAATTGTCGTGCATTTTCTGACTATGGATGCCGTTGCGCACCCTCGTATAAGTGTGGTCGGTAGTCTGCTGCATTCGAAGATGAGACAACAATACATTGTCAGAATTCGATCCACGGCGCCCTTTTGCAGAACGACGACCTAACTTCGCCATACACAGTGCTCCATGATGACGCCAATGTTCAATCTCAGTCTGAATATCCCTGCAATCGTGCTTGCCTCACTAAGCCTGGCGCTGACTGTCGGCATGATCATACATGAATGTGCCTGTAAGACTTCGAGGAGGCAACACCACAAAAGAACGACTCCAGAGCCTGAGAGTGGCC